CCTCCCAAAGTGCTGGGATTACAGGCTTGAGCCACCGCGCCCGGCCCATCTCTTTTTTTGATACCAGCCTAACCCCATCTCTACACAGATACAAAAATTAGCCGGCTGTAGTGGCAGGCACCTGTAATCGCAGCTACCTGGGAGGCTGAGGTGGGAGAGTCAGTTGAACCTGGGAGGTGGAGGTTGCATTGAGCCAAGATCCTGCCATTGTACTCCAGCCTGGGTGACAGAGCAAGACTTCATCTCAAAAAAAAAGTGTGCAAGGGGGTGGTGTGGGAATGGAACAAAAGCTTATATCCTGGGTCTTGTAATGTCTAGTAATGGGTTGTTATCGTAAAAGAAATTTTTTTTTTTTTTTTTTTGAGACAGAGTCTCTGTCACCCAGGCTGGAGTGCAGTGGCACGATCTCAGCTCACTACAACCTCTGCCTCCTGGGTTCAAGCGATCCTCCTGCCTCAGCTTCCCAAGTAGCTTGGGATTATGGGCGCCCACCACCACACCTAGCTAATTTTTGTATTTTTAGTAGAGACAGGGTTTCACCATGTTGGTCAGGCTGGTCTCGAACTCCTCACCTCATGTGATCCACCTGCCTCCCAAAGTGCTGGGATTACAGACATGAGCCACCACTCCTGCCCGTAAAAGAAATTCTTTAGCTTTTAATTTTAACTGTAGCATCTATAATACTTTGACTTCCTCTTCCCTTTTGTTTGCAGAATTTTTAAATTGTTAAATATTTTATGAATTTTTTCCCTTTATTTTCTAATTCATGGCTTTGCTGTTTTCTTCATTCCTCTGTGTAGGTTCAGTGGTCACCTCACAATGAGACTATTTTGGCTTCCAGTGGTACTGATCGCAGACTGAATGTCTGGGATTTAAGGTAATTCTTGTGTTCATTCCTCTGTCTGCGTACGTATTTCCTTTATTTACACTTTGCAAAGGTAGTCACTAGGGGTAAATCTATTTTAACTTTTAAAATTATGCTTTTGTATTAGTAAAATTGGAGAGGAACAATCCCCAGAAGATGCAGAAGACGGGCCACCAGAGTTGTTGGTATGTTAAAAGCATTGGACAGTACTGAAGTAGTCTGTAATTTAATGTCCTCTATTTGCATTTCACATCTTTGTTTTCTTCCCTCTTTCAGTTTATTCATGGTGGTCACACTGCCAAGATATCTGATTTCTCCTGGAATCCCAATGAACCTTGGGTGATTTGTTCTGTATCAGAAGACAATATCATGCAAGTGTGGCAAATGGTAAGGGTTCGGTCATTTTTTTGGGGGAGGTGAGATAAATAAGACACAGAATCAATTTACATTTATATATTTTATGATTACGGCTACCATCTCTGTTCATTTTACTCCCAGGTGTGATTTTAAGATTTGTCTATACATTATCATTTTCAGCTGCCTGTTCTTGACCATTTTAGTTATACTACTGGTATTTTAAACTCAGCTAAACAAAACAAAACTGACCCTCTCCCCCACTTCTCCTTTCCTCCTCCTTTTTTTTTTTTTTTGTATGGCTCCAACATTTTCCCAGCTAACCAGACTTGAAAACTCAAGAATTTTCCATGTCTGTTTACCTCTAGTTGTAGTTCACTTCCAGATTTCATACCATCTATCTGCGGTGTTTCTCCCATCTTTGCCTCATCATCTTAGAAGTACAAATTTACATACCCAAAGGAGGTATATCACCTCACAACATCAAATACTGTTTCTCCATGAAACCTATCTAGATTTCAAAAATGTTCCCTGTCTCTACCTCAAAGAATGAAAGAATGTGAACACCCTCCTTAAATTTTATTTTCTTCTTCTTCTTTTTTTTTTTTTTTTTTTTTGAGATGTTCTTTCACTTTTCCACCCAGGCTGGAGTACAGTGGTGCAGTCTCAGCTCACTGCAACTTCCATCTCCCAGTTTCAAGCGATTCTCCTGCCTCAGCCCTCTGAGTAGCTGGGACTACAGATGTGCACCACCATGCTCAGCTAATTTTTTTATTTTCAGTAGAGACAGGGTTTCACTGTGGTGGCCAGGTTGGTCTCGAACTCTTGACCTTATGATCTGCCTGCCTCGGCCTCCCAAAGTGCTGGGATTACAGGCGTGAGCCACCATGCCCAGCCTCTTAAATTTTCAAAGCACTTCAATTTAATAAAAATAACTGTGGTGTCTTATACATTAATAGTTAAAAAATAGTTATATTCGGCCGGGCGCGGTGAGTCATTCCTATAATCCTAGCACTTTGGGAGGCTGAGGCGGGTGGATCGTGATGTCAGGAGATCAAGACCATCCTGGCTAACATGGTGAAACCCTGTCTCTTCTAAAAATACAAAAAAAAAAAAAAAAACTAGCCGGGCGTGGTGGCAGGTGCCTGTAGTCCCAGCTACTCAGGAGGCTGAGGCAGGAGAATGGCATGAACCCGGGAGGCAGAGCTTGCAGTGAGCCAAGATCGCACCACTGCACTCCAGCCTGGGCAACAGAGCGAAACTCCATCTCAATTTAAAAAAAATAAAAAAAGTTATATTCTGGAGATGGTGGTTATGGTGAATACAGTGTAAGTGTGCTTAATGCCACTGAACTGTATACATAAAATGGCTAAGCTAATAAATTTTATGTTGTATGGAGTTTGCCAGAATTTGGAGGTGGAAGACAATTTCTTGCTCTGTTGTTCAGGCAGAGTGCAGTGGTGCGATTACAACTCACTGCAGCCTCCTATTCCCAGGCTCAAGATATCCTCCTACCTCAGCCTCCCTAGTAACTGGGACCACAGGTGTGCATTACCAGGCCTGGTTAATTTTTAAAATATTTTTGTACAGATGGGATTTGCCATGTTGGCCAGTCTGGTCATGAACTTGTGAGTTCAAGCGATTTGCCCACTTCCCAGAGTGCTGGGATTACAGGCTTGAGGCTGGCCCACTTTTTTTTTGTTTGTTTGTTTTTTAAGAATTACGTAGCTTGATGGTCATCTGGTAAATGAAAAGAATTCAGAAGAAAGTTTTGCTGTCTCTCAGACTAGATCTAGTACCAGGGAATAGTTTTTGACTCGTCATGAGGAGAGGGAGGATGTTTTCAACAGTACTTTCTTAAACTGCAATAGCACTATTTTTTCTTATTTTTTATTTTTTAAATTTTTTTTCCCTGAGCGGAGTCTCACTCCCTTGCCCAGGCTGGAGTGCAGTGGAGCGATCTCAGCTCATTGCAACCTCTGCCTCCCAGGTTCAAGCAGTTCTCCTGCCTCAGCCTGCTGAGTAGCTGGGATTACAGGTGTGTACCACTATGCCTGGCTAATTTTTTGTATTTAGTAGAGATGGGGGTTTCACCATGTTGGTCAGGGTGGTCTTGAACTTCTGACCTCATGATCCACCCTCTTTGGCCTCCCAAAGTACCCGATTACAGGCATGAGTCACTGTGTCCAGCCTTTTTATTTTTGAGACAGTTTTGTTGTTTGTTTGTTGTTTGTTTTTGTTTTGTTTTGTTTTGTTTTGTTTTGAGACAGAGTCTCGCTCTGTCGCCCGGGCTGGAGTGCAGTGGCTGGATCTCAGCTCACTGCCAGCTCTGCCTCTCGGGTTTACACCATTCTCCTGCCTCAACCTCCCGAGTTGCTGGGACTATAGGCACCCGCCACCTCGCCCGGCTAGTTTTTTTGTATTTTTTAGTAGAGATGGGGTTTCACCGTGTTAGCCAGGATGGTCTCGATCTCCTGACCTCGTGATCCGCCCGTCTC